GACACCCCGTGCTCTCCAACCCCATACCAGCAGCTCGTGTCCCCCTGCAGCCAGGCCTGGCTGGCCTTCCACCACATCCCTGCACCCCATGTCCACAGACAAGACACCCCGTGCTCTCAGGACTCTTTTAATGTTGTGATAGGGACTGTGGGGGACACTGTGCTGCTGGGGCTCTGTGGTGGGGGATACCCGGCAGGCTCTGTCTCCCCAGAGTCCCTTTCCTTGGGTGACCTCCCAATGTCTGCGCTGCTGATGGCGGTGTTGACCAGAACAATGGAGCCCTGCTCTGCCAGGGCCTCGCTCTTCTCCTCCGGGTAGTGGAAAGCCACGAAGAGCTGGTACAGGTACGTGCCCACGGCGGCGCCCAGCAGCGGTGCCACCAGTGGCACCCACCACCAACCATTGCCCCTGCTGAGGATGGGACAGGGTAGGGTTGGCATCATCCCTGCCATCCCCACCTTGCCCCCTTCCCTCAACCCACCTGAAGACCTCTGGGCCCCAGCCTGCCAGATAGGTGAAGAGCCGGGGCCCGATGTCCCGAGCAGGGTTCAGGGGGCAGCCACAGTTGGCCCCCATGGAGCACTCGATGGAGAGCACCAAGAGAGCCACAACCACTGGTTCCAGGCCCTTGGGGACAGGCTTGTTGCGGGGGTCCATGATGCCCATGACAACAATTATCAGCACCCCTGTGCCGATCACCTGCGAGGACAGCACAGCAGCTCAGCACCATGGGGACCGAGCGGGCTGGGAGGGGGCTGGGGGAGCTGACAGTGGCACCCACCTGGTCCAAGAAGCCATTGCCAATAGACACAAAGTCAGCAGGGTAAGTGGCGAAGATAGAGGCAGTTTCTTGGGGGCCAGTGACAGTAAGGGTCCCATTGCTATGGTGCCAGATGGCATCTAGGGGCAGAGGCAGAGCATGTACAAAAGCCTGGCCTCCCCAGTATCACCGTGGAGTTCCCCTGTCCAATGGTGTTCCTCCATACCATAGTAGACGACGTAAACAGCTCCAGCAGCTATGAAAGATCCCACAATCTGCACAGCCACAAAGATGGGAAACTTCCACCAGGGGAACTGCTCTATCAGGCACATGGCTAAGGAGAACGCCGGGTTCATGTGGGCCCCTGCAATGGAGTAGGGAGAAAGGCTGGGAGTGGAGGGTCCTGGGGGACTCAGAGCCAGGGGATAGCAAGAGCTGGGACCCCTTCCTCTGTCTCACCAGAGATTCCCCCTGCCGTGTAGATGCCTCCCATGACACCCAGGGCACCTCCCAGGTAGCTGGTCATGATATTCCCCTTGGTCTCATAGAAGGCAATCTTCTGTGCAGAGCTGGCCAGGGTGATTGTCTGGAGAAGAGGGAGCCCCACCTCAGTCCTGGTGGCCTCGTGCTGAGACCCTCCCAGTGCTGATACTGCAGGGCAGCAAGGCAGGGGCTGTGCTGGTGCTGCTCCCCTGGTTTTGCTCCCCAATACTTGGACACCAGACAGGGACTGGCAGGGAGGTGGTTATTGCCCTCACTTGTGGTTTTGATAGCAAAATAACCAAATTACAAGCAATTAAATAAACTGTTTTCTGTGGGGAGGTGTTGGGAAAGAGGTGCCATAACATAGATCCAGGGACACCATTTGCCATCATGCGATGTAGCCCAAAGGCTAAGGACAGCACCAGAGCCCCAACCTTTGCCTGCTCTGAGGCAGAAGGTATCAGGGCACACACTGCCCAGCACCACACCCTGATTGCACCGGAGCTGTGGCACATTGTGGACCATGCTGTGGGAACAGGGTCCAAGGGGGAGGACAGGCAGTGCTGAGTTGCACATTTGAGTGCGGCGCAGCCCCAGACCTTCCCAACCTCAAGGGGCAAGCAGCAGAACCCCAGGGACCCCTGGCACCTGCCACCACGACACCATCAGCCCTGTCACAGAACCCCAGGGACCCCTGGCACCTGCCAGCATGACACCATCAGC